TATATATATATATATACGTGGTTGTGCGCTGTGTTTCCGTACGAATGTACGTATGCATGCATGCCCGTACTGCTCACCGTCGAGCAGGAATCTCAGACGCGGTTGCAGGGGGGGGCCTGGAAGCAGAGTGAGCCATCACAAAACCCGAGAAGATGCCGTGAGATTCCTTTTTGACCATGCGATGCTCACATGAGCTCAAAGATTACTCATCCTACTGCCGATGGAGAGACACCAAGTTTCAAGGGTGGCCGAGTCGCGCTTCGAGGCACCTTAATCTCCCAGTGATGGCGGACCTGTCACACCAGGTCTTTAAGCACAGAGGTATGTTGGAAATTGTGGGAGCCCCGCACAGAACTACCTCGTTGCTGCTGCAGATGAAGCTCTGACACCCTTTGCTCAGCCCAGCGCATCGGCACAGGTTGGAAGGCAGGACAAGTTTTGTGCGGCAGACCTTCACTCGACCACCCGGTGATCGGAGGTGAAGGCTTTGCTGAACCGACCGACATGACCCTGCGGAACATGTATGTACCAAGCAAGCTAGAATTTTTCGCATCTGAGGCTGGAGCGTCATGGCGGACCTTGGTTCTCACTGCTGGGGCATCCGTTAGACCCCTGAGGGGCCTGATGTGCTGGTGCTCTGCTTGCCAAGCTGCATGTCGACGACGGGTTTGGAGATGATTGCTGCTGGAAGGCAGCCGACAAAGCGCAGTGCTTGACCCACAGGCGGTCGGCATGCCACATTCTTGATGGCGACAGAGAATATGTGTTCGAACGACACAGACACCCGAGTCAGATGAATGGGATCACGTAGAATGAAGCTCCGATGTCTTATGCCTCGTACTGCTTCCCTGATACCTCTCTCCAAATAGGCGAGGCTTCAAGCTGCCGAACAACATCCATGAAGCGCGACTGCTTTTAAAGCATGCAGCGGTCGCATGCTCAAGCTCGCTTGCCAGCAAGACACTCTTGCAAAGCAGACTACTGACACTAACCCAATGCACTAGAATGTCGATGTCAGAACCGGGGTGCACTGTTGAAGTGCTTTCCGAGCACGCAGGGTGGGCTACGAGTAGGGTGTCTGATGGCCGCTGCCTAGAACCCTAAACCCTAAACCTACATTGCCTACACTACTCTTGGCCTCAGAGCAGCGGCACGCCCGCTGGTGGGCTGCTCGTTTTCAATGGCTGCGACATCCTCCGCGAGCTGGCTTTGGTGTAATACTTGGTGTAATACAATAACAATACTAATAAGAATAACATTAATAATAACAATAATGATATTAATATACTATAAGACAGGAAAACCAATGAATAATCTACCGTGACATACTATAACATAGAATGATATATTATATATAATGTTGGATGATTTACCATAATATACTATACTGCGATGCCAAGACTGCAGCCTCTTTCCCTGGTACCGCCGCAGCTTTGCTTTGCACGATGCTCTACGATTGCAGTCATACTGCTCCACCTGGGGCCTAGGACTACCAACATCACACTAGCCGCCATGCCTACGACGTGTTACAAATCTTTACAGCCACGGTAGTACTCATATTGACGTCAGACTGGCGAATGACTATGGTGCCTGTTGGAAGCATCTTTGTCACACGAATTAGAGCAACACTACCACCGAATATTGCTATGCGCCTACGCAATGACTGTCACGACTGCGAGCAAAACGTTCATGCCTCTTTGCTTTACAAGTCTTGCTGCTATTCCGGCAATTGAAACATTTCCCCAAATTTCCCCTGTGGCAAAAACCACTTCTAACAACATGACTATCTTAATTCAGCTATTGCTGCCCGTGCGACGACTTGCACTATGATTTCTGTCTCGGTAGATGCCTCTGGAATACAATACGCCAGACTTTTGCTAAAGGGACGTGGGGTCTGTGATTAACAATGATACTGCCAACATTCAGTACCAGTGACAACCGGGCCAGGTTCCGGGCCCTATAGTTGCTTCTGCCGCTTTCGCCGCCTGTGGACACCAAACAGACACTCATGCCGGCAGTGTGAACACGAGCAAGCGCTACAGAAGAAAGAACGGCAGAAACATACGCGGGCAGAAAGAAACGAGGCAAGGCACTTGCGAGCTGAAGCTGCGCCTCGCGCAGCATGGCATTGAAGTCACTCGAAGACTGTGCGTCTCGGTGGCAAATAGCTGCGATCGCTCTTCAATGCTCTTGTAAATCTTCCAACTTGGCTACTCGATTGCGACTTGCTCAAGTCACTGCTTTGACTTCACATTTTGCGTGTGAGACCTTCTGAGCTTCCAGCTGGCTTTGGCAGGGGGTGCCGGGGACGGAGGTAGGCCAGGCCTCATTGAAGTCAGTATTCCCAAATTCAATTGAGCATCTTCGACTGAGATGAGCCTGCGTCCGTGCACGACTTGTGAACGCAAAATCTTGCGATAAGCAGGTGCATCGAACGTTGTTGTTTCGGTGTTCGTGGGTGCCTCATAGTACATTATAGCATATTATAATACGTTATATATCTATATTGCTGTATATTATAGTATATTTGTAGTATTTTCTAGTATATTACAATCCTCACTCGTCTTGGGTCCCGGCGGAGGCGAGGAGGAGGTCGGGCTTGCGAAGGTCGCAGGTGGGGGAGGCCCTGGCACTGACCGAATCATCTTTGGGGAAAAGGACACTTAAGTGAGGTCAGGTCGATGTTCCCTACCATCACTGCTGCTGCTACTACTGCTTCTACTCCTCCTCCTCCTCCTCATCCTCCCGACGGTGCGACGATTGCAGCGACTACTATGACGACTACTACAATTCTGACTAAACTACGCACGCCACCACAACTGCGACTACGTCTTCTACTACTGCTAAAACGACTGGTGCTGCTACTCCTCCCACTACCACTGCCACTGCCACCACCACTACCACGACCACGACCAGGATCACTTCCACTACCACTGCAACCACGACCACTGCTGCTGCTGCGGCTGCTACTACTACTACTACTACTACTACTACTGCTACTACTACTGCTACTACTACTAGCACTACTGCTACCACTACTACGACGACGACTCCACCCTTTCTACTACTAGTGCTTTCTACTACTGC